ACCTCAGGTCTGAGCTGAGCTGGACATAGCTGGACTCAGCATCTGACACGCTCGGTGGCTCTCACAAGCTGAGGCCAAATCAAAAACTGTGGCCGTCTTGCCGGGAGTTGCCTTCTCAACAATCGCCATGGCGAAGCAGTGGCTAGTGACTAGCGCTGACCGATCTGATGGAGAAAGGACATGAAAGGACTGTCTGCAGTTCGAAACTGTCAAATCTGTTGCAACTGAAAAATGTACAAAAAATGTTGCATGTACAAGGATAATCTGCAATAATTTCTTGGACCAATGATCCTAGTCGTACATACTAGTATAGATAATTATGTCAAATTTATGGAAGAATGTAAGCACATTCCACAAGGAATCACAGAAAGCCCCCAAGTTTTCTAGCTCTCCCCATGAGCCTCAGGAAAATCACAGAATACAACCAGGTCTCAACATGTCTCAACCAAAGCTGCTTGTGTTTGCTCAAACCTCTCTGCAAAGCCAGATAAGCCTAGCCAGGAAGCCGAGTGCATGTAGTAATTAATTATATAATTTGTAGAAACTAGGTTAAAGCCGGGATACACCACAAATACAGTAAACCGCAATAGCGCTAGTTCTTGAGCCATGAGCCACATAGTGATACGGGTGAAATGACCTATACCTAGAGTACTACTGTGCAACGACACCCCCCGTGCAGTGCAAGCCTATACATGGGGTGAAGCTGCAAATTACGGCTATGCACATGTAGGTAAGGGATGCCGTTACAAACAAATAACAACTTCAACCAAAACCCCAGAAACACGGCCTTCCTTTCCGTAGTACTTTCGGTCATCACCTGGGCGTGGCGAAATTCGGCAACAAGACATGACAAAGAGATCCATCGATTCAGACATCAAGTACAAAGGTCAACGGATGCTGTCAAGATCAATTCGAACGGATGCATTCAGCTTTTGTTTTAGGCTCTACTGGGCTTGTGGTCGAACATGCAAGGTGGAAAAAGGTCTTGGCCCATTACATAGGCCTGCGTTTCCACGCGGCAACAAAAGTTCTTGTGGTCGCCCAGGAGCTTGCCAAAGCAAAGCGATATGAATTAATGGCAAAAAGCTGAATTCAGTTTTGGTGTGAACCCGCAGGGAAGCTTTCAGAAATGCTTCAAAGATGCCTTAACTTCGCAAGGCAAGAGCTTCCGCTCTGCGGTACATGCAACTACCAGCCGTGTGCTCAGCAAGAAGGAATCATGGCAAGAATAAGATGTGTGCCAAATGCCTGCTTTAAATTATATGCATTCAAAGCGTTAATGAAAGTTATGTGAACTTGAAATGAGTTGGCAAAAATTCCGACTTAGCACACTTGAGTTCTGCTGATGGTGGAATCGCGCACCCACCCGTGCATTGAAGCTAATCACCTACCCGAATTAAATCAAAGTAGGCAGCAGCTGCCGCTGTGCGACACTTGGCAGTGAGAAAAACTACCCCGCCTCAGATGAAAAGGAAATTCACCAGGCGAGAGGTTCCCCTCCGCGGTGTCTCAGCGATAGCCCGACCAACGTCGATCCCTGTATTGGTGGCCTTGATTTCGACGGCGCCAATCCTCCCACTCTTGGTCAGTCCACTGGTTGTAGTAGTCGTTCCATTCCTGCTGACTGTAGCCATGTGTGGGCCCCTGATGTGATCCATACCCAGGACGCGAAGACCTGGTGACATCTGGGTTCTGCTGCTTGGTTGCAGGCAGGGGTCGGCTTCCGCCTTCCGTGTCCTTTGCCTCCGTGAGGGGGCGCAAGATATCGTCGACATAGCTGAGAATGTCGGCGTACACATCCTGCTTGGACAGGGCGAGGGACTGGAACGTCGTGTTGGCGGCGCTCAGAACCTCGAATCGGTCAGCCACTGGGATCAAGGCGTAGGCGGCCGCGAACTGGTTGGCTCTGTAAAAGCGGTTCTTGTACCAGATGAGTACATGATCGTCAACGACGATCGTCTTCATCTGCTCCTCTTCGTATGCGACCAGGCACATACGCGCTTTGTACTGCCGAATCTTTCCAGTTCGGATTTCCTCACGTGTGCGCTTGATGCCGGGAAGCACCACGTTGCCAAGGACTGTAATCCAATGCATACACCGAGGTGTAAGGTCTTGGACCGCACAGTTAAAGGCGTAGTGGGCGTCCGTTCCCAGACGCTGGAGCAATGTCATCCCCGCCTTTCGTGCCTGTTTCATATATGAACGGGCATGATTTTTGAGGACGGCGGCCGCAGATCTGATCTGCTTGGCACCTTGGGTGGTGCCGGCCACATCATCATCGCCCAGCAAGTCGAGGGTGAGCTCGAACCCGAGCTTCTCGGCAAGCTCCTCCAGACGGAACACCTGGCATGCGCGACGCATGTCGGACATAGTCGCCAAAGACAAGCCGCATGCGAGGCACACCAACATCCCCTCAGGAAAAATCTTCCTGCACCGGGGGCATGTCAATTCTGGCATAGCCAGCATAGATACATACCGCCAGCGCGTGAGGTTCCCCTCCACGGATGGGTCAAATGCCTCCTGATCGAAGCGATCAGAACGGCGTTCCCGCGCGTTGTCAGGGGAGATGTCGAAGCCAGCAGCCGTCACCGTTGGTTTTCGCGCCACACAGAGGAGGTTGGTGAAGTTGAGCGGCCGCTGCTTGGTCTTTGGCAGCAACTCATCGACGACAGGGTACGGTGTCGGAACTTCCTTGTAAATGAGCGGACGGCGCAAAGTGATGACGTCCTTCCACTGGTCATACTCATTCACAAACATCATCTTCAAAGTTTCCAAGTCCGAACACTCGTACCTTTCCAGTTCCTCGTATGCGGGAGTGCCCTTCCGAGCCTCGTTCTCTTCCCAAGTGAGAGCGTTCTCGGAGGCCTTCTGCCGAAGGTACTTCTTCACCCCGTTGTAGCCATGGTTCGCCCAAAGGTATTGCGACTTCTCGCAATCGAATGCGTAGATGAGGCAATGATTGGGCACCCAGTCCTCTGAGATGATTGCACCGGCCAAGGTTTCCACCAGGCGAAGACCATAGTGCAGAGCGCAATCGGTGTCGATCGCAATGCACAGCGGTCGGTTCGTCCTGACACCAGGATCCTTGCCTTCGATTTCCCAAGGCGCATCGCGGGTCATATACACATGACCCTTGCATGATGTGGCCCCAGGGAAAATTCCCGTGCAAATGATCTGCTGGAGGGAGTCCCATGAAGTGTAATGGTAGATCACCCTGAACTCTTCTGGGACCTCGGCTTCCGCCAGGTGAGGATAAATAGGAACCCTTGGGTAGAATCCCTTCCTCACATCCTCCACCGTGAACTGGTAGTCAAGCGAGATGATCTGCTTGACCAATGGAGCCGTTCCCACCTTGTCGATGAGGGATTGGTCATGACCTTGGCAGGCCTTCACATGCGTGATAGTTGTCAGTTCCCCGACAATTCCAGCTTCAATGCGACACATGAACCTGTCCTGTGTCCTGAGGATCAAATAGAGATCCTGCTTGGAAAGCTGGGCCCTGTACCTCTTCCTCAAGTAGCTGTACATGCTCTCGAAGTTGAGGTAGAGCTCGTCATCAAACTCCGGAGGAATGTGACGATGATGGGGTTCCAAAAACTTTTGTGGTCGTAGCCGCGCAACAACCCAGTGACCCGCTTGGAGAACTTGAAGTCGTCGTAGTTCAGATGTCCAAGATCTCGAAGGCCAGGCAATTCTGTGCACCTGATGGTGAACTCCCTGCGCTCGCCCGTTCCCGGTGAGAAAAAGTACCATTTGGGGTATCCCGATGGTCGCAAAGGCGGTTCAGCCGGAGGCTGAGGTCCACCCGTTCCCGGGGGAGGAGCACTTGCCATGGGCGGCTCCTTCTTGGCAATCTTCGGGGCAGGCTCCGTCGAAGGCGCAGCGGCGGGTGCCGATGACTTCTGAGGAGGTGCCCTTGGTGAGGTTGTTGTCAACGTCGGTGGTGGTGCCTTGAAAGGCAAAGCTTTGGGCATAGGATGGTCTGCAGCTTCCGCTGGGAGTGCAGGTGGCTCCGGCTTGGGGGATCCAGTTGCACTCTTCGGAGTTGGTGGCGGACTTGGCTTTGGGGACGCCATGGGAGACGTTCCCGTCGCCGTTGAGACCTTGGGGAGCCGAGGAGCAGGCTTGAACTGAATCATGGTGGCCTGATCCTTCATCTTTGGTTTGATGAATTGGCTAACCGTGTCCCCAATCACTTGTGCAATGCCGCTCGACGACGATGCCGCTTCCGATGAGGAAGCCGCCTTCGACTTGGCCTTCGACACAATCTGGAGAGAGGCAGCAGGGTCACCCGCGCGAAGCTTTTCCTCGGCGGACTTGGGCTCCTCAAAGATCTAACGTTCCATCTGACGGTGCTTCTCCTCATCCGTCAAATCGAAGCGACGAATGATGACGGCCCCGTCTTCGGTTTGCTGCATGGACTCCTGCCGAAGTTCAAGCTTGGCAGGATCACGTGTGACGTCGGTATCCAAGATGTTCACCACGCCAGAACCATCCAATCTGAAGTCCACAGCATGGATCTTGTTCATCAGATGGGAGCGCAGCTTCCGCTGGCTAAACATTGAGGCTGAGCCGCCGACAATGGGGTCCCTGAAGACAATCTCCTCGTCGGCATCCGGCTCGTCAATGTCGCGCTCGTCGGAAACACCAGGCAATCGATCCAAAAAGGGCTTGAGGATGGCGTCGATGAGCTCACCATCCATCTCCGGCTCTTTGACCTCATGTGGTTCAAAGTGCTCGGGTTCCCCCGGCAGTGCAGCATCCACGGACTCCAAAACCTGCCAGTTCGATGAGGCCGCAGTGGCATCATCCTGCACCGTAGGAGCCTGCTGGATCTGTGCACGTTCAGGATCAACTTCATTGGGAAGTCGTTGCCCCTTGGGTCGAGTCTCCTTCACATAGATTTCCCAACCGTCCACGTCCATGGAGACCAACACTTCCTCCATCTCTTCCCACTCCGGGTTGTTTTCTGGAAGCGGGTTGGCCAACGATTCCTCGCGGCGCTGTTCACTAGTTAGCCTTCCGTTGCTCAAGTTGTGGGTGACGTAGAGAGATAAAATCTAGAAACCCTAGAAAATAAAAACCCCATAAAACCGAAACTATTCCAGCTGAAATTCAAAAGACGCATTCACAAAAACAGCCAAACTCTTTTTACGCGTGGCGAAGTTTAGTCGACGGACTAAATGAATGTCAAATGCACAGCAGTACAAAATTAAACCGAACAGTTCGTGAACACCAGGCGGGAATTCACAAACCAGAAACATAGGGGGTTTTGGGAGCCCAAGCAACCAAAACCCCAGGAAGACAAACGAGAGCACTCAGGGAGCTCAAGAACCAACAGCAACCCAGCGGGGAGCAACCAAGCAGCCACAGGATACAAGCCGGTATCCAAAGCAGGAGGCTGACAAGGGGACGGTGGTGGGAAAAGGAAAACTAACGTAGAACCGCGGTCTACCACACACCACAACTTGACCCAAAATGGCATCCATAAAACCGGATCACCCTAGCAAAACCCAACAGGAGAAAACATTCAAAACCAGAAGGTTTGAAACAAGGGTTTTGCAAAACAGAGGCCGGTTTCAAACAAGTGAACAACACCGATCAAGCTCGAGTACAGTTCACTAGTTAGCCTTCCGTTGCTCAAGTTGTGGGTGACGTAGAGAGATAAAATCTAGAAACCCTAGAAAATAAAAACCCCATAAAATCGAAACTATTCCAGCTGAAATTCAAAAGACGCATTCACAAAAACAGCCAAACTCTTTTTACGCGTGGCGAAGTTTAGTCGACGGACTAAATGAATGTCAAATGCACAGCAGTACAAAATTAAACCGAACAGTTCGTGAACACCAGGCGGGAATTCACAAACCAGAAACATAGGGGGTTTTGGGAGCCCAAATAGAATCGAGAACATCGACCGAAAGGATCAAAACCCCCAAAATGGACATCGATGTGCAAAAGACATGATTCGCCACTTTTTTGGACTCAGCGGGTCAACAAAGTGTGCGGAAATTTGGCGTTTGATGGTGAATGCTCTGGAAGAGATGAGCACAGCCAGGTCCATGGGACATCAACCCGCAGTTCTGGAGTGCAATGTGGTAGGTGCTTACCACGACTCAGGGCATCTGCTTCATCGTTCCACATGCCAGGAATATGTTGGATCGAAACATCCAGGTTGTGAATGCGTTGAAATCTGAAGAAAGCTGCTAAAACATGGCACATGCCCGAAGCCGTAGATAAGGCTTTCAGGTGAGCAGCTTCTGCCGATGTGTTGTCACAAGCAAACGTAACAGATATGGGGGTACAACGACCCTTCAACGCACGATCCAAACAAAACGCCAAAGCAAATTGGCCCAGTAATTCCCAAACATTGATGTGCTTCTGCATGGAGTCAGAGATCCAAGGAAAAACCTCTTTCGTGAAGGCAAACCATGCGGCAACTTCTCCATTCAGTCGAAGGATGCCACCTAAGCCAGCTTCTCCTTGAGTAGCGCATGCATCTGCAGATGCTTGGAGAGGAAGGTATGTCGGTGGGATCATGTTGTGCAGAAACGGTGTGCCCACAAGAACATCCTTCCAGGCTTGAAGGGATTCATGGGTTTCCTGCAAAAGTTTTCGCTTGCTGGAACCCGGTATACTGATACCTAACCAAATACGTCTCGATTTGAAGTGCAATGATCTGGCATGGCCAATGTCACGGAGTGTGAAATTCGCTGCACGCACCACCTTCACATTCTTACGCAAGGACGGGTGATGCAAACTTTTGGAGAGTGTTAGGTCATCCTGCAAAGCATCAAGAAGAAGAGGCCACTCCTCAATTGAAATTGAAACCAAAGTTAAAGGTACCGTCATCATGGCCTGGTACAATGGGCCCAATAAAGGTCGCAAGGTTTCCCAGAGGGATGAGACCCAAAGCAATCGCCCGGTGAGGGACTCCAAAGTCTTCAGATCACAGCGAGATGATCTCAGTAAGGAATCAATCTGTTCAAGGATCTTGGCACGCTTGTCAGGGGTGATGGATACCACCCACCGCTTGACATTGATACTCCATCCAATCCATGTCACAGAAGGGCCGTAGGCAGTCTTGTGCCAAGACATAGGAATACCCAAAATCAAGCATGTAACTGAAAGGATACCAACCCAAAATGGTGAGGTAGCCGCTTCCAAAAGGATGAGAAGATCATCAACATATTGAAACAGCGCATGACGAATATGCAAGATCCTGTGAAAAGTTCTCACCATCAAGCCAGCCACCCGGGACCAAAAGTAACCACTCGCACGGGCTCCAAAATTCAGTGTCGTACTCTTGAAAAGAGTGTCTTGATACCAAAAGCAAAGGAGGCCCTGATCTTCAGGCGCAATTTTGATACGCCGATGAGCCATAGAGACATCCAGTGTGAATGCCACAAGCTCCAGAGACGAAGGTTCAAGTGGAGCCGCCTGCAATACATCTGAGATCCTGGGTAACAACATACGATTGGGGATCGACGTATTTTGGGTGACCCCTGACACTGTGGAGTCCACCACAAGCCTGGGTGGCCTGTTTTCTGCAGATACCAAACCAAGCTTACCCACTGCAGTGTGTTGATGATCTCGTTGTAATTGAGCAAGCCCACCTGGAACACGTTCAATGAAACCAGAGTCTATCTCCTCCTGCAGCAACTGCCATACAATATCAGGGTGATCCAAGGCGCTTTGCCAGGATGATTCACCTGCACCAAGTCTTGGTCATCAGCTACTGTTGATTGATGCAGGGGCCACAAGGGAGACGGTTGGATGACATTGTGCACACCCAAACGCACGCCATCTTGTAATTGATGGATGAAGTCTGCATCCGGATCCTCAATGGCCTGCAGTATGAGTTTCCAAAGTCCGAGCCGAAAGGGTTGGCCCGGTGCCACTGTCAAGGCAGAATCCCATGCCTGATCCGACAACTTGAAAAAATCCCGCACATCTTCAAGGAAAGGTTGAAGCTGGTCACCAGAAAGAGGTGGCGCTTTGGATCCAGTTGAAAAATGTGCAAGAATCTGTTTGTGCAGCCCTGTATGGAGAAATCGCTTAGTCCATAGTTTGCGCAGGCCACCCAAAGTGTCTGGAGCCCGAGGGTGATGCCAGACTGCAGTGCTAATCAGGCCACCACCATCCTCCACCCGCTGAGCCAGTGTTTGAACCTGAAATGTGGATGACAAGGATGAGGCCCACGAGGAAAGTGTCAATTTGGTGGCATGCGTTGTCAAAAACCGCACAAATATATCGGCCAGGGCATCTGCTAGGAGCTGCGGATAACATGCTGTCAGGCGACTGTAGAAAGTTCCATCTGGAAGTCTCAGCCCTGCAAAGTTCAAATGAGATTTGGGTGGATGAACACAGCCCAACCCCAAGGCCAAAATGTCAGGGCGATTCGAGCAGAAAAGCCAAGCCTTTTGCCAATCCGTGCCAAACCGGCAAGCAGCAGCTGCAGCCAAATAGGGCGCAGTCGCCCGAACCCAAGCACTCATGAGACCATCCAGCCAAGTCATGCTGGTCAGTGGGTTCTCAAGAACCACAATACCGCCTTTGGCAGCCACCAGAGTCAGAATGTGGCGAGCACGGTCGTGGACCGCAGCGGACTCTTGCACCTGTAGGTCCTGCAGGGCCGTGTTGGTGTCCAAGCCATCCAGTGCTTCAGGAGTACGGACCGGTGGAGGTCCATTGGGTCTCAATGTCGCCATGGAATGCTTCGAGCAGTAAGGCGCAGCAAGTGCAGCACCTACCAAGCCAGATGCCGCAAGATCCAAAACATTATGAAAAACACCATCATCAAGGAGATCGCAATGTTGACCAAAAATTAAGTCCACTGGTTCAATGGAGTCCGCATGCAAGGCCCTCACCGCCACTGAGACCGGAGAGGACGCACCAGAGAAAATATCCAAAAAATATGCAAAACGTGGCTTCGCATGACTTGCAACCGTCGCCGAGGAGGCTGATTCCGCAGGAAAATTAGGCGGAGAAAAATCACCTGGAGGGGGCTCCAAAACATCGGTTGCAACTGTCGGCATGACAGGCTGTCAGTGGGGAGCGCTCTTGTGAGCTTTGGCAGGGTGCTTTTGCGCACATGCTGATCCGTCCGCCTTAGGAATAGGGCACACATGCAAAAATCTGCATGTATCACCGCTGCCACATTTGGAAACATTCCATCGCATGCAAATACCCTTCCCATTGTGCTTGCGCACCCAACTGTCATTCCAGTCCTTGAGCTGGTTGTCCTTCCGAATGGGTGGAGGAGTGGAAGTCTTTTTGGGCGCCCCTTTAGGTTCAGCTTTCTTTGGAGTCACCGGGTTGGAGTTTGCACGAGGTCGAGGTTGAAGGACCGTCTGCATATCTTGCCTACAGTGTGCAATCTCACTCAAGGTGTCACTCAATGACCAAGAGTTTTCACGCATCGCATGGGTGACAGCCATCCATACTGACTTGTCAGCAGCCAAGACCTCTTGCAAATTCGGTGATCGCAATGATGAATCCACAGGTGTTGCAAGTGCAAGCTCGTTGAACTTGTAGTGAAATTTCTTAATGACAATCAAGTGGACCAACTGCAACATCGCCAAAGCATTAGCCAACAAGGTTTGAAAACGCAGCAACACCGGTTCCACCGGGCCCCCAGCTGGCACACTAGCCTCAGGGAAGTCCATCAAGTCCTGCTGGTTCAGCATCCTTTGGAGCAACTGATGGTCAGATCTCGGTTTCCTGTTTTCCTGAAAAAGAGTTTCAGCCTGCTCAGAGATGCGATGTCTCCAAGGGGTCCAATTCCATGTGCCAGTTTCAAATTGATCTTTCAAAGCAGCAACAAACATGAAACTCGGCGTAGACTCAGGCGTCAACAACTCACCAGGAAAATGATCAGCAAATTTCAGCTTCAGCTCCTTGTACTCAGCCAATGACAGCTTGGGTTTGACAGGAACCGCAACCTGAGTTTCAGTAGGCATGCCGCCTTTGGCCTGGCAGGCATCAAAGCAATGTCGAATAACCCTCCTCAAACTAGCAGCGCCAGGTGAAAGAAGGTCAACCTGCTCACCAAGATCGCGAGGAAACAACTTCTCAACCAAGTCATCCACTTGACCATCACTAGGAACAGCAAAGCCCAAAAGTGCTACTGATTTGTAACCCAAAACATCCAAATTGGCCACCACTGGAGCGGGAACTGAACAATCCGACAACAGTTTCTTCAGAGATGCAGGGTCATCCAAGGCCAATTGTGCCATCGCCGCAAGTGAGCAAGGTAAAATTGACACCGAATGCAACTGTAAATGAACTCGCAATATGCAATGTTGTCATGGACAATTAACTCAAATAAACCTGGATGCCAGGAAATGTTGGTAATGTCAAAATTCGTGCAATCTGCGCTAAGAGCCAGACATGATGCAATGCAAGGAGATACAGCCCTATGCAACCGCGGTTGGCAAAAGGCCAATTGAACATGTGAAAACAAATGCCCATGAACATCACATGACAAGGTGAATACAGCGGTGTCCAACTATGCCATGTCAAGTTTTCACAACGGTTCAGCGACCGAAGATAAAGCCAGCGGGCCCAAACTTTTGCATCAGGATGGCTCACTGAAATCATGAATTGTACAGGAAACAAAAAATTCACTGAGACTTCAGCCAATGGGGCTATGCCGCTCAGGAAATCAAAAAACGAACACTACGGCTCTGACGTCGATGAAAACCGTGCTATGTGCAGGCCCACGAGGTCATGAAGGTCCCTGGTACCATCAGCTGCATGACGGACCGTTTCCCAAACCGGATGGTGTCCTTGAGCTGCCAATTCCACGGCAAAATCATCCAGAAGGGTTGCAGCGGCACCCAACTCCGATCGCCAAAGGGCAGCAGTCTCCACCGAGAGGCCTGTGATGCTATCTAAAACCGATCGTGATGGCCTGTGGTAATCCCACGAACGGTAATTGATATTCTCAATGTTGGCCAATTCGGACTGGAGGGCAATGGACGTCCTGGCCAAGCCTTTTTTGGAAGCCACGACCATGACCCATGGACCGATAAAAGCTGACACCCACGATTCAGCGCTTCCTTGGCACTCTCACAACGGTGCATGGCAGCTTCACCCTTGGGAGCGATCCATGCCAGGAGAAGGGCCACCGTCTGGGTGATCATACCCACAGTATGGGAATTCGCCGCCATAGCTGATCCAGCGGGCATCGCAATGCGGGCTCCCAGTTAAAATGTCGAAAGTGAGACAAATAAAAGGGGATGGTCACAAAAATTATGTCGATGTTATGGAGTTCCAACATTTGACATGAGGACCGTGAAACATGGATTGACAGCGGTCACACGCCCCCGAAACAGGACCTAGGGCCAAAATAGGAACACATGTACACCCCTGCATGTGAGACGTGCAAAAGCAAAACTGAAAAAACAAACGCGATAGGTTCAAGTAGTCCATAGTTGAACCTAACCGAGTGCAGTGATCAATGTAAACAACGTCACAGCGGTGACAGCACAACACCATACAAGATGTCACTGCCAAACAAAATTGGTGTGATTGTCAGAAACATGCACAATCCACAAGTTTTGTCAGCGCAAATCACGCAAGCAGCAACCGTTTTTGGATCGCTCAAATCACCTGTGACATGATCCTGGCACAGGCTCGACGCAAACAAAATCTGGCACCTTCAGGCAAGCAATGGGTGAATTGCAAATCACCGGAGATTGCATTGGGACGGGCACCACAGCCAGTACGATATGGCTGTAAATTGGAATCCTCATAACACATGGCTCGATCCGAACTGGAGCATTGTATCGCCAAATGGGCAACCTTCGTGACTGGGTTCACCAGAAAAATCAACTCCTCAGGAGCAAGTGCGGATGGCTCATCCATGACTTCACTGACCGCTGAAGCTTCCGATGCCTCTGACCCATCATCATCCTGAGGGGCTTCTGGCTCCACTGGTTCGAGAGGTGGTGCAGGCACTGAATCCTGCGCATCTGACTTGGGTTCAACCTGGAATGCAAGTGGCTTCCAAGATGGGAGCTGTATTGAGAAATCCGGCAGGGACGGCGAGCCACCCCTCAACATGGGTCGAAGAGGTCTGAACCCCTCTGCAATTCGTTGTGCAACTGTGCATTGTAGCATGAGGGCTGGCAATGTATCATTCCTGCTGTACAAGGCGACCGAACCATTCACAGCAGATCTATGATGACCTTGCAATTGACGCTGTTCCAAAGACAGTTGCAGTTGTTGAGACCAGCATTGCAATGTTGTCTTACATGAATGCGTCCCCAAAAGATGAAAATCCTCAGGCTTAGCCACCACACCGTGAGCTTCATGACATTTGCACAACCAGTAACGCAAGAGCTGCAAGCCTCGATCCCTTGGCATAGGCCTGAGAAAAAGGGGCCGATTCAAATCCGTGCCCACCTCAGTCAGCAAGAAGTCAACAGGAAATGCCGGGTATAAATGTTGTGTATCATGGATCGCCTGCTGGATCACGTTCAACCAAGTTTGGGCCCACGAGGCATTCCCATGTTGACCCAATAGTCCAAATGCATAGCATGCGATCGGCATGCCTCTGTTTGTCGTCTTGGTATGCGACGACATCGCAAAAAGAGCATGCTGTTGAATCGAGATAGATCTGGGGTCCACCCAAAGTGCATCAGACCACCGCAAGCTACTCCAAATCAAGAAAAGCAGTGCACCCAGTTGCAATATGTCACAATTCGATGCATCTTTGGCCAAAATCATCTTTTCAAGATAAACCACAAAGGACAATGGCAGAGGAGCTGACTCGCGCTTCTCGGAAATCACTGAGCTCTGCAAGTATGCCTTACAAACTGAAGACTGCAGGGCCTGGAACAGATCTGGAAGCTGGGCATGACGTGCAACCCATGACAAGCCTTTGTGATACGCTGTAGCCACTCCTAATGGGCCATGGGCATGTTCAGCAAGAAAATCGGCCAAAAAGACATGATCAGGTTGAAAAGGACAAGCCCCTAACTCCTTTGCAAAATCTTGCCATCGCTGCCATATACGAAAGTAAGACTGCAGGGTCGATGGAGCAAATTTGGAAATCACCCGCAATCTGTGGTCCACAACATGTCGAGAGCTCTCAGTTGCAGTGACAAGCCCACTGCAAGAACCCATAGCAAGCAACACATCCAACCATTGTTGATCCAGGGCACTCTTAGCCGCCGACCACGCCTGTTGCATGGATTGCGATGGTCCCTGCTGACTCCGGTCAGAAAGGGGAGTGCGAACAACTGGCATGTCTGCACACATCAACCTAGAAGTTGACACAGTCGGCATAGCTGGTTCTCTGCGATGAGGAAATGGCACAACAGCTGGTTGCAATGAAACCCTGGATTTCAAAACCGGCTTTGGGGGCTTCCATGATGTTGCAAGACAATCAAACTCTGGGGATGCGAACTTCCTTGGAGTCCTCTGAGGTTGCAGCCACGGTGATGCACCTGATGCCCCAAAACAGCTGGACCTACGGCTCGCTGTAGCAAAAGGGTCAGTCGATCCTCCAGGTTGGTAGTTGAAATCGTAACCACCCAGATGTGTCCAACGTGGTTGAAAATTATCATCTGCAACTGATTCCGCACCAAATAAATCAATCGGTGATATTTGACTCACAGCATCGAGGTCACGGCAAAGCCCAGGAGACGCAGCTGAAAAACATGAATCACCTGTGACAAGCTCAAACGATCCTGCAGTCGAATCAATGTCAGCAGCAGAAACCGGTGGTGTATGTGGTGCAGCTGGTGCATGCTTCCGAAAACGCTTGACAACGCAAACAGGCACATCAGTTGAATCCATGCCACCAGAATCACCAGTTGTGTGAAGGCTGTCTTCCAATTGAAACCAGAGATGCAAAAACAGGTTTGAAAACTGCCAAAAACACAGTAACAAAAATACCTGTCCCATCCATGGCAAAAAGGAAAACTAACGTAGAACCGCGGTCTACCACACACCACAACTTGACCCAAAATGGCATCCATAAAACCGGATCACCCTAGCAAAACCCAACAGGAGAAAACATTCAAAACCAGAAGGTTTGAAACAAGGGTTTTGCAAAACAGAGGCCGGTTTCAAACAAGTGAACAACACCGATCAAGCTCGAGTACATCTTCACCTCAGCCATCTCGATCAATGGCTTGCACGACCGAAGTCGAAAGAGATGATAACCAAGAGCGCCTGCCTCGGAGTAGAACCGAATGCACTGGAGGCGGTTGTGTTCCGAATTCTCCATGTGCTGGCCGTCGTATCGTGTTGTACACTTGATAAGCGACGTGGCATCGAGGACGCAGAGTCCGCGTTTCCTCAATGCCTCGGCTTCTCGAATCATTTGACGGTCAAAGTCGGGGTGCAACCCGTACCCTCGGCCGTACCAGGGCATGACAAGGACGATGTTCCCAACGTCGGCGCGAGTTGTCAGCTTCACGAGGTCGTTCAGAGCGGAGAAATGGGTATTGACCCTTTCCTCCATGAGATCGTTTGCTGCATCTCGGCGCTTCTGTGAGTAACACGCCATCTCCTTGTCGAGCCAATCACAGTGGAGGAAGCCGTAGTTCCCAAAAATATCGTTGCCAGCGTAAGAGATGACAATGACAGCTGGGCGAGAGGTTCCCCTCCGCTGCAAACATTCAAGAGAGTGCTCGACGCCCTTGATGATGTCAGGCAGCCCACGACCCCATTTGAGATCGTGCCAGACCGTTCTGCGGCCTGGTGGGAGGAGGTCCGGCTTCTCCTTGATGTACTCGCCGATGTTCCTACGCGTAGAAGCGTACCCGTCGACCATGTCCACAAGTGCCATCGAAGAATCTCCGGCAAAGATGAAATTGGCCTCAGGTTCCCCTGGGCAAACCATGCCTCTGAGTGAGAAGCTGGAAACGCCGTCGAGGAGCTTCGCGTCTTCCGGGCTCACGTCACGAAGATAGCCCTTTGCCAAAAGCGAATGATCAGTCTGACCCATGAGTGAAGTCAAATCCGAAATGACATCGGCTTCGTTCACGACACGACACTGCGTGACAGAGCCAAAAATGCTCCCAGTCAACGCAAACCACGCCTTTCCGTTAGGCCCCAAAGTCACATCTTCCGCAGTGGACTCCGGTTCCCCGGGTCGAATTCCAGCAGCTTCCGCAGCAGCGGAGTAGTCTGCCTCTTCGACCTCGCCTTCTGGAAATCGTCGGTAGTAGGCCATTGTAGAGGATGAAGTTGTGAGCGAAGCAGCGCAGAGTGCAATAGA